ATAGAGCATGACCTTAAGAAAACCCTGTAACAAATTATTATGACAATACTGAATTTAAATGAATCAAACACATGTCTACATTATTTTACGTCATCTTTTTTTGCAATCTCCGCTGTCACTTAGCCTGTATGTTTCAAAACAATTATCTGAGCAATTCATTTCAATTGTTTTTCATATACAGCGTAACATCAACGTTTTGTTAACATTGCAGTTTCACAAGAGGCATGTTTAATATGCAAATTCGAAGAAAACACTGCTATGCTGTTCATTCACGATCCTTGTTCAAAATTTTGCCTTGAAAACAATTTGTGCAGGTGCAAAATTGTGTTCATGTTCAAATGTGGTTGTGTTTAGTTAAAATGTACATATTGTTAGTGCAATGACTTGGATGTGGGATGGGTTTAAAATCCCTGTGAACATCATTTTAAATGTCACGTCATGGCCTGTCTTTCCAGCGTGGGCTGAAATCCCGAAGCAATGCAGTTCTTATACAGATTTTATCACTCGCCTTCACGCGTACTGTGCTAATAGACGCCGAAACGTAATCCTGGCGGTCTTGGGATTCGATCCCTCGATTGTGGGTTTCTGGCACACGCTAGTGATTCAATTTGGAGTAAATTGGTACGACCACCCGTTATTTTCTCAATGTCGTGAGGCAGATTGGAAGAACTCACCTTTCTTGACTCATCTCGGTACAGAAATGTCACATGAAGGCGATTCGTACATGTGTACTTTTAGCAGAGATTTCTTATGAATGCGGAAAAGGGTTTTGTCCTTTCGATCTGTGCAGCGTTTTTGTTATATAATCCGAGAGGAAAATCATAATCCACTTGATGATGAAGGTTGGCTCCAAAGTAAGGTATCAGACCGATTACAGGATTTGCGTGGGATTGTGATCAACATGTGCGTCTAAAGTGCGGAAGACTTATGCAGGATAGAGATTTTTCAGAACCCCCAGTAGTCTGACGTTGATACATATGTTCAGGAAAACATGCGGAAACTTGAACTGAATAATATATTGATGACATAACGGGCAATTGCATTCTTTTTAAATTGTCACAGTCATCAATAAACATAAGTGCCTCTTTTCCAGGGAAACCGCAACCATGGGTTATCTAAGTAACATCTGACGTACATAAATTGTACATTTGGCAACTAATATTTTGTCTTACTAAGCTCTGTATTTGGTACGTATACGTAACACATGTGTAAACTATTACTAAGAAGTCTTAGATCTAAAGGTAATACAGACAGCAATTCATGAATAATTAAGGTACAGGATGGACTCTCTCCAAGCAGCAAAACACTTTACTCAACATATTTCACAATAGCCCATCTAAACATATATCACCACAAACATTTTCTGATAACCTTAGTTCCTAATAAAATATGCCCCATCAAACATAATAAGTTTATACTTGTGCAGTTACATGTGCCCTTTGATCTCTCCAAACAGCAAAACACTTTACTCAACATATTTCACAATAGCCCATCTAAACATATATCACCACAAACATTTTCTGATAACCTTAGTTCCTAATAAAATATGCCCCATCAAACATAATAAGTTTATACTTGTGCAGTTACATGTGCCCTTTGATCTCTCCAAACAGCAAAACACTTTACTCAACATATTTCACAATAGCCCATCTAAACATATATCACCACAAACATTTTCTGATAACCTTAGTTCCTAATAAAATATGCCCCATCAAACATAATAAGTTTATACTTGTGCAGTTACATGTGCCCTTTGCTCTCTCCAAACAGCAAAACACTTTAGCCCACTTATTTCACAATAGCAATCTAAACATACATCACCACAAACATTTTCAGATAACCTAAGTTCCTAATTACATATTCCCCATCAAACATAATAATTTTATACTTGTGCAGTTCCATGTGCCCTTGAAGTGTCATATATGTCTTCTTTAACCAAAGGTAATAATATCAGGACATTGATTTTCTAAAATGATACTGCTATTACAGGTACTATCTATACTAAGAATTCGCTATTTCCTGCATCAGTAACATATCCGACGTTGACTTGTCACCATGTCAATGAACAAACTGAAATCTCAAGGACATCTCCTAAAACATTCATCTGAAAGCAATCCGACTCCCATTAACAAATACGTGGGTGCATCCCTAATGTTGAAACTCAATTTTATCTAGATAATGAGCTGGGAGTATTAATTCCTATTCTATCCTTGGTGAATCCATGAAATTTGTCTGCGTTCGTAAACATTTAATCATGAGTTTTTTAAGATAGGAATTATCAATAACTTATCAATACTTTTATGGTCAACTCCATAAGTTAGACAAAAGCTTAAATGTTCAAGAATACTGGTGTTTCATCCACAGTCAGCACTATCCACGGATGGCTCTCCGTACATGAGGGTCGAACAAACTAGTTATTGGTATGTTTAACGATAAAACACCATCATGTCCCCGTGACTGACTTCCTGATCCTTTAACGTGTATGTACTGCAAGAAGAAGATACCCAATCTACACTGGTAACCAAACACAATCTTTCTTACAACCACATTGCCATTTTTTACATAGGGTCAGCGGTCCATGACAGGAGGCAGAATTGACTTCAATCTAAAAATAATCCAACACTAACTATTTAGAGCCGTGACAGGAGAAAAATTTATACTTAAAGAATAATTAAAACGGGTGGAAGGAATGTGATCACATGCCGATACCTTAGAAAGACAGTTGTCAAAGCTATCAGGGTGAGTTATTTTAACACACCTCTTGTTCCTGGATAACATGAAATGTGTTCGTATCAGACCAATCAAGATATATGATCTGGACTATAAAAGAGACACGAGCCAATGTGGCACATGCACAGGTTGACGGTCCTAGTTTTATGTAGGGTCTGGGCATGATTTGGCGACGCATACACGTTCATCATTAAGATAATATGTGAAACTTCCACTCATTGGAAGTATTTTCAAAGTGTGTGTCCAATCACCCTCAGGGACTGTAATATGACAAGGGAAATACGGTGCTTTATATCACACAAGGAGAAAATGTGTGGACAAGTTGTAAGTCACCCATCCACTCAACCCGTCCTTTATCTCTAATCTACAAATACGGGCACTCTTTTGCAGGGGCGGTAGGGTAGCCTAGTGGTTAAAGCGTTCGCTCGTCACGCCGAATACCGGGGTTCGATTCCCCACATAGGTACAATGTGAGAAGCCTTTTTCCGGTGTCCTCCGCCGTGATATTGCTGGAATATTGCTAAAAGCGGCGTAAAAACATACTCACTCACTCACTCTTTTGCTTGCAGTAGCTAGTAACAGGCGATATACAACATATATACAAGTTCAGTTGAGGAAAGCCGCGATGGAGGGCCAGCTGTGTATTTCAGCGTATGTTTGCTTTCGTCTACTCAAACAATATTTTACACTAAGATGAGTAACACTGTTTAATGTGAGACACATCTCACTGCCTGACACTTGAACCTTTTGCTTAAAATATGTCCTATGTTTGATTTAATTGTATACATGTAGTATACTATAATTTAGGTTTTAGCTTTAATCGGTTATGTGGCTGGATTTCATTGTCTATCAGCTGTTATTGTATCACAGTTGAAGTTTCATATCTTGCTCTTGTCCCCCTTCCACGTTTTTCTTAATCCGCAACCATCGGATGAGCAATTGTAACATTTAAGTCTTGGTCTTATGGTTGTATGAAATATAGATCTTAGTAAATCTGGTATTCCAACTGCTCATGGTCTCGAAGGAAAAACCCGTATTTGGAGAACATTGAGACTTTTCTTGGTTTTATCTTCTTTTATTGTTTGGTACAACGTTTCAGGGCTTGTTCTCGCCCCATCATCAGGTAGAACTAAAGAACTGTGTTTCATCTTCTTTTTATTGTTTGGTACAACGTTTCAGGGCTTGTTCTGGCCCCATCATCCGGTAGAACTAAAGAACAGCTCTTATAAACAGGAATATATAATGAGAAATGTTAGAATGGTGATCCTTACAAAACACTAGAGTCATACAGGCTCTTGAAAGTAAATCCTAATTTGAGCTAATAACCACGAAAGTGACACTTACGGTTTCAAATCTCGTGACATTTATCAATGTCATTGTCACAGCACAGATACAATTCATGCTTTCACGTGTCACGCTTAATTACCATGACCTTGTGAGGATGGTAAAAGTTATTCCAATATAGTTTTCCTTATCGTGTAACTGTCACGGTCCTTATTACCGTGACAAGGTGGCAATACATCAGTTCTTATGTACATAGTGGCCAACCATCACAGGCGGATCCAGAGAGGGTGGGGGTTTCCAGGGGTGCGTGCACACCACACACACACCCCATACCCTTTTTGTGCTGAAAGTTTGTTAAATGACCATTGAAACTCGGGTGAAAATGAAGTGTGCACCCCTCCTTTTCTCAATAGTGTGCAGACCCCCTTTCTCAAAAAGCTGTATCCGCCCCTGACCATCCAGAAACTAGAATCTGGCAAATGGCATTATTCCATATTCCTGACGCATGCTTTAAACTGAAGCTGGTGATAATAAAACCAAGTTTTGTTCATATCGTTGTTGTTCCGTGTTGCACTCAGGAATATCCCACAGTGACATGTGAATAATCTAGTCTGGGTCAGGCCACCGAATGATTGATGCTATGAGCAACACCCCAATCATTAGGGTATGGAGACACGCAATCAGTGACGTCACCAACCTCACCTTCGCATTCATTCTTTTTAACCCGAAGTCCAAATATGGGTAATCATTAATGTTTTGGGAAGATTAATAACTATTCAATAAGCATATACATAGAGAATATTGTGGTGTAGGGAAGCACATCTCTGCTCAACTGAGACAGAAAGCAAGGATAGACACAAAAGTGAGTCCGTTTGTCATGTCATATAACACACCACCACGGCACATGGCCACTCGAGTTATTTCCCTTTAAACTACAGAAATCAGTCATTTATGCATGGTATGCATGTTATACAAGTCAGCAGATATTGAGCATAAATGTGTTTTATTCAAGAGAAATGCAAAAGTGTCATCGCATAAAAACTTAAAAACACAAAACATCAAGTTAGATAGGTAATGTGTGAACAAAACCACCAAATATGGGAGTAAAACAATTTTTAAACAATTAGATGTTGGAATTTTACATGTACCCTCTCATCGCTTTGTATATTGGCACATCACGTCGGAAATGATAATTCAGGATTTCAGGCAAAGTACACGTACAGACATAACCTACATGTGTGTATATATTTGGGTATGTATGTATATATATATACACACACACCAAGAAGGATTGCAATGTTACAGTCAATAGACATCAATTAATTACATGTAGACATTTGCACACCAATTGTATGGGAAGACATCATAGCAATACTTATCCTTCCTTCATGAGTAAATTGGTATTACACGTTTTCTGAAATTGAAGGTACATGATACAGAATAACACTGCATAGTTAGGATAAGAAAATGGTTGCATTGTTTCCTGTCGCTTGTTGCATTGTGAGTGCATGTGTGATTGCACTGGACATAGTGGACTAATACTTAGATGATATATGTGATTCTGTACAACAATATTAATATCGACAACGTTGCATTGTTCGGGGAATGAGTTTTAGGTAACATTTTCTACTTGAAAGTAAGACCCATTTACAGATTTCCACCAAAATTATATTCATAAATATAAGTTAAATCTAGTGAATTCATGAATATATCCTTGTGTTTGTACTTTACAATCAGAAATGCATTCTTTCATTTCCAATACCGACATCACTGGATCCCAGATATCGGTTGAAAGATTCAAAGGTTCACGGAAGATTAACACCTGAACATTTGCAGATAAATAGACAAACAGACGGACAGATAGATAGATAGTATAGATTTGTAAATTAATTGTCCAGTTTTCCTGCATGTATTTTGGGAAATACCCAACGTTGATTCAACTATGCTGGCTGGCTGGCTGAGTATGGTTTTACGCCGTTTTTAGCAATATTCCAGCAATATCACGGCGGGGGACACCAGAAATGGGCTTCACACATTGTACCCATGTGGGGAATCGAACCCGGGCCTTCGGCGTGACGAGCGAACGCTTTAACCACTAGGCTACCCCACCGACCGATTCAACTATGCAATGAACACAATACGTTAATGCATGAAAAAATAATGTACACGTTTTCACATCTACTCCAAACCTTGCAATGAGTCATTTCGCATTAGTACGGTCAAAATATATAGTTCAACAAAAGGTACTTTGTACACAGGTAGAAGTATGACAACATGACAACGCACATATATATAAAGAATATACACGCACACATTATTCAAGAACAGGAAAGCAGTTCCATAAAGACGACAACAATTGCAGAGTAGTCCAGTTCGACACAGCATTGGCAACGTCTGTGACGTTTTTGTGTTTGGTAGATATTTACCAACAATCTGACTCATATACAGCCTTGTCCAGTACACCTTTGTGTCCAGTTGCGTTATTTGTTTCACAGCAACATGAACGAACGAATACGTTCTTAAATGAACAGTGGTGAGGCAAATAGCGTGCAGCGAATACATCTCATACGTTTCAGTGTTAATCTTCAACAGGCATAGTCCCTTCATAATATCTGATAATTAACAATGGCGAGGAACATGATTTGTCAAGACAAGCGTACACTAAAAGGTACACATATTTTGTCAGAATGTCAGTATCGAAATTCAACAATAGAAATGTAAATGTCAATGTACATGTAAATTGTAAAATGCATAGCAGTATAGGCACAGAAATATCAGGTTTTGAATCACAAACATATCGAATATTTAGGACTTTTATAATAATGATGTAATATATAGGTTACCAGTTTACGTATAGACGATAGCGCTGTTGAAGAATAATACATAAAGGTAAACAAAATACCGAGAACACATTTGTAATGTAACCGAAGCATTAAGACAATGCTAATTGCTAGATCCACCATCAGGAATTATTAAAGGATCAGGCTTCATGCGGTTTTTGTGGGATATACTTCAGTCCCACAAAATAAAGTGACAAGAAGACAAAGATGGAACCACCTATCCCTACCACTGCTTCCCAGACTTGTTCATCTCTGAAGGCATACATGGCCATAGCTTCCTGTCCCGTCTGCACACAGAACGCCTCTGGGGTCCCGTCACAGGTGAAGTTAAGGGGTGACACTACAACCAGGCACAAACCCTCGAACCCCCAGCGGAGATACGACACATCCGCCACCCATCTTAACCCTGCAAGGAAAAAATGTTACTTCTGTATATTTTGTGAATCAAATTAGACGTAACTTATTATATATCATATCATATACGGTGCGGTGGGGTAGCGTTGTGGGTAAAGCGTTCGATCGTCACGCGAAATGCCCGGGTTCGATTCCCAACACGGTACAATGTGTGAAGCCCATTTTCCCCAGCCGTGATATTGATGGAATATTGCTAAAAGCGGCGTAAAACCATACTCACTCACTCACTCATATCATATACAGTAAAATGGCCACATTGCCGCATCATACCTTGCCATATATACCTTCAGTGTCATGCATACCATATGACTTCTCTGCTTATTGTGACATACCATAACGCACGCCTGTTGTACCTGCACGATGTACCACAGATGAATGATATACGATGATATATCATATCATCGCTATCGATGGGTGATATATGGAATTATATATATACAGGTGGTAAATATGATGCCGTATCATATCTTTGGAGGTGCCTGATAAAGCATATGTTTCCATAAAATTCCACATATCTCTGCTTAGCCGTGTACTATCATATTTTGGTGGTACTAGCTTACTGTACCATGGAATTCATTATCTACAATACAAAAGACGACCCGTGAAGATCCGGGTTAGAATTGATCTTCAGTAATCCATGCTTGTCGTAGGCGACTAACGGAATCGTTTGGTCAGGCTTCCTCACTTGGTTGACACATGTCATCATATCACAATTTGCGTAAATCGATGCTCATGCTGTTGATCACTGGATTGCCGGTCCAGACTCTATTATTTACAAACCGCCGCAATATTGCTGGAATATTGCTGAGTGCGGCGTAAAACTTAACTCACTCACCCACTCACATTATCGACTTCTACAATACAAAAGACACTAACATACCCACAGAAGTACCCCACAACACTGTCACTGACTTACTGCCATGGTCATAACCTATCAATGCCCTGTCATACTCACAGGAGAGGATGTTATCGAGGTTGATGAAGAAGCCGGCCGACATTATGAAGATGGAGAAGAAGCTTTGCGCAAAAAATCCCGAAATTTGAAAGGTCGGCATTAGAGATGCTGAGAACATAGCGAGGCTACGGGAACAGTAGACGGAGATGAAGACGATGGCGAAGACTTTGAGGAAGATCCCTGGGTCCTGTTCCAGGTTGGCGAGGAAGTACATAGGTATCGTGTACACTGTCACGTAGAACGTGTGGAATGGGAGCTCACTCAGTAACTGAAAAATGTGTAAAAGGTACATTTACAAAGCTGAGTCAAGTGTTTGCATACACAAACACGATGGGAAAGGTACATCGAAATAGGTCATTTTGTCGGATACCATTTTTTAATGCCTCCACATGTTTCCCACAACGTTATGATAGATTTACTAATGCATTGAATGTTTAACCATCATAACAAATAGAAGTGGTATGGCTTTGGAAAATCATATTTGATTATAAATTATCGTAAAAAGGTTACTGATCAACCATGGCGGCTCTGTAGGGGCTCGACATAAAGGACGAATTGACTACTGGAAAGTCGAAGTCATCACTTTTGCCATGTACTTTCAACAGATAATATAAATATACCAATGCTCAGCTCGTTTATGCCGAATGGAGGAAGAAATACTATTTACTGTGACATTTGCATGGGGGATAGTGGTGTGAAGCGTGAATAGGACATATTTGACATAACTGAACGTGGGTCGTTCCTTGGTGTGTTTCATATCACTCAGTTTTGTCTAAAATGCACTCTGTGAATACTAACTAGAGTCATCAATAAATTACCCCTATCCTGTGCAATTTGGAAATGGAGTTCGCCTACATATACCAAAAGTTTAGCAATTTGCAATTGGATACATTTAGTTCAGTGAAGAAAAACATAATGTCGATTGGTATGTCTATCCCAAATTATAAAATGGCAACAGTTCTATACTAGTAAGTTTTACTATAAAGAATTGAACAGTTCGTGGGTTCTGCGGTGCCCTCATACTCATACAAATAAATATATAAACATCCCCAAATCACCAAAAAACGTACCGGTTTACTACAAAAAGGATCTGTCATTCAGAACTATTTAACAGTTTTCGGTTTCTCCTCCGGAAATCAGCATTAAGCTAGGTTTCCATGTGTACGTATTGTCTGCGTAATTGCGTGATGCGTAGTGTCACAATCAATGTGTACGTGTATAAAGGCTATGTATATTCAAAACAAAACTTTTCAACGTAACATGACATATGAATATTTGGAACTTTTAAAATAAATTGTATATGTATATTATACTTATCCTATCTCACGGTACTTCAACTTTAATTACTGGGGTCACTTGATAAATCGCGGGGAGGCAGGGTCTACTTGCCAAACTGCGTCCTTTTGCTTGTCAAAAGTTGCAGCTGAAAACCACATTAATTCGGGAGCGCCCACTCCCTAGAGTTTTTGTGCGGAGTAAGCCAAGGGGTTATCCGAAGCAACCCGTCACAAGTTGGAGTTAGCATATCGGGAGTTGGTGCTTTCTCCTGGCCTCCTTGTGTTATGCGACCCTACGGTTGCAGAATTGACACAGGGTAATCTGCGGCCCGCCTTCCAACCGTGGGATAATGCATAGGCTACCGTGAGATAGGATAAGTTTAAAAATTTGTAAATTTAAAATAAATTGAATATTTATATACTTATCCTATCTCACGCGAAGGATACCCACCCGACCTGCCCCACATCACAGATTACTGGAAGCTCCAAGACGAGAATGACAAGGGCAGGCTGTCAGGTGATCATCGAAGCGATCTGCACGCTTATTGAGATGATTGACAGGTCTTGCTGTGGAGTGGAGCAGAGGTCAGGGGTCAGAGGCCAGAAAGTTTGATTCAACTTAGCCTACAGCATGTTTCCACACATGGTCGTACAAGAACAAGAGATGTGCATACCGTGAGATAGGATAAGTTTAAAAATATATATATTCAAAATACCAGTCCTTTCTTGCAATTGGTCATCGTTATCCTAAAGTTTCCTTGTAATTGCGTTCCAAATATTGCATATCTTCGTAACATCCTTATATGCATCGTAGATGACTGGATTGTATCTAACGATTTTAATTAATTGTTCACGAATTATCTCGGGTATCGAATTCTTTGCATTTTGCAAACTTGTGTGCGCAATGAAAACCACGTGAGGTTGGGAAAATCCCTTGGGAATCCCTACTTCCAGCCTCCGTACATAATAGCTGCGTGATGCCTATTCGGACACATTTTGAGCGTAAGCAAAGGCACTACGCAGCATGTGTCACGCGTGCATGGAAACGGCTGTCACATTTTTAGTATAAAGTGTTGTTTACCAACTACGCACTACTCATCACGCACTACGCACTACGCGCACATGGAAACCCGGATTACCCTCATTTTCAGAAATGAATATAACCTGTCATGAAAACCTAGAACAATGAACACAATTTAATAATCACAATTCAAATGAGTGAGTGAGTTTAGTTTCACGCCGCACTCAGTAACATTCCAGCTATATGCCGGCGGTTTAAAAAAAATCGAGTCTGGACCAGACAATCCAGTGATCAACAGTATGAGCATCGATCTATGCAACTGGGATACGATGACATGTGTCAGCCAAGTCAGTGAGCATGACCACCCGATCGCGTTACTCGCCTCTTACGACAAACATGGGTTACTGAAGATCAATTCTTCTAACCTGGATCTTCACGAGTTCAATTCAAACGAGAACAGTATACTGATCCGTTTAGCTAGTTTCAACACAAAATATTTAATGGGTTCACTCGACTCTGGAAACAGGAAACGGACTGCCAAATGCCTGCTATATCCGTTATTTCCAAAACGGGGGAATAAACAGCAAGGAAAGAAGCACAAAGCATTTTTTTAAATATGTGTCACATGAAATGCAAGTACATCATGTTCATTTATACACGACACTGTTTGCACAGTGACTTAATGCGGTATAACGGACAAGTCATTTGTACACCTCGATTGTAATAATTGTATGGTATCTTTAAATATATGATCGTCATTAAACTCATGTGTTATATTTAAAGGACTTTTACCTTCGCAAAATAGTAAGCCCCCGCTGAATACAGTTTATCTTGAAGCTCAAAATACAGATATCGTCTTTCCTTGTGACCTGAAAAAGAAAAAAGGTGTGGGTCTTTTTTATCTGGGGGAAAAACGAAGGAAAGTTGCCATATATTTGTTGCGACGATTTACTCATGATTATTAACGGAATGTGTTATCTTGTTTTTCGTTCCTTTGTCAAGGACATGTGTACGGATTTTACGTTCGCACATTATTGTATTGTATTGAACGATGGCATACATAGCTGTGACTAAACCCCATGAGCAATGTCATCCTGGTTATGCGTCAATATTTACATTTACTCATAACTGATATCCATTTTCTCAAAATATGCTTGTTTATGTCGAAATACATTTGATAGTACTCCCATTTCACTAAATATCTGACGCTCAGGAATTGGGTGAAACATTCATATAAGTACTTCCAAACATTATCCTCTCCTTAAAATCATAAAATAGAGGATACGACTTCATCAAGATAAAACATATATATGTGGAGTTTAACAGGGAGTAAATAAACGGCGCAGAGTTCTTTTCACCGATTTCGTCAACAATATAATTGAGAGAAAAACGTTTGTGCTTCATTTTACAAGCTTCACAAGAATGCACAGAGTATATTTGTTCACCCTTCGACGTAGCAGTTGGCTATATTCTAGCTACAGGGCGGAGGCATGTGCTTTCTTGCTTGTTGTTGTTTAATGCTGCACACAGCTGTATTCCAGCTATTTGGCGGCGGTTTGTAAATAATCGAGTCTGGACCAGACAATCCAGTGATCAACAGCACGAGCATCGATCTACACAACTGTAATACGATGACATGTGACAACCAAGTCAGCGAGCCTGACCATCCGATCCCGTTACTCGCCTCTTACGACAAGCATGGCTTACTGAAGATCAGTAGACTGATTACCTTAATAGTGGCCCAGACAATCCAATGATCAACAGCATTGGCATCGATCTGCGCAACTGTGATACGATGACACGTGTCAACCAGGTCAGCGAGCCTGACCATCCGATCCCGTTACTCGCCTCTTACGACAAGATACTGAAGATCAGTAGACTGATCTACTTAATAGTGGCCCAGACAATCCAATGATCAACAGCATGAGCATCGATCTGCGCAACTGTGATACGATGACATGTGTCAACCAGGTCAGCGAGCCTGACCATCCGATCCCGTTACTCGCCTCTTACGACAAGCATGGCTTACTGAAGATCAGTAGACTGATCTCCTTAATAGTGGCCCAGACAATCCAATGATCAACAGCATGAGCATCGATCTGCGCAACTGTGATACGATGACATGTGTCAACCAGGTCAGCGAGCCTGACCACCCGATCCCGTTAGTCGCCTCCTATGACAAGTATGTAATTGCTAAAGGGTCATCGGCGTTTTCAGTTTGTTGTTTCCATTTGTATGGTGTATGTCATTGCCTTGCCACATATATCGTATATAGTCCACATATAACTTTAACAGGGCGTGTCTCACTGACTACATACACTGGCCTATGACATCCAGGACGATCATGTAGGGGTACATGACGCTGATCATATACAGCAAACCAAAGTGGTCCCTCAGAGACAGCTGGTCCCTCTTTAGTTCGAAGAATACAAATCCGAGGATGAGGGACATGGAGAGAGCTTGCAGGAACTGGATCAAGAGTAGAGCATAATCCTCTACTATATTCCTCATTGACCGACTGAAGAAGAAATACAAATGACACATGAATTGTAATAGCGTTCAGGTTTAATATTGTAGTATTTCAAAACAAAAAGTACTTCAGATATATCATGTCATATTGATACTCACGTGCTGATTTTTTAATGAAGGAATGACTATCGGAGTGTCAAAAAACACATACATTTATCCCTAATGACGCAGTGAGTGAGTTATGTTTTACGCCGTTTTCAGCAACATTCCGGTGGGGTTCACCAGAAGTGGGGTTCACATATTGTATCCATGTGGGGAATCGAAACCTGGTCCTCGGGGTGACGGGCGAATGCTTTGACCGCAAGACTACCCCGCCGCCCCTTATGGCATAGAAGCACATATTGTCTGAGCTCCCGTCTCTATGGAAGACATTAATTAGATTTTCTAAATCTGTGACGTGCGGCTATCTATACAGCTTAAATGGATTCAAGCCTAGGTCTGTGTTTATTGTTTGACTAAACAAACCTTAAACATAAGGCTGACATATTGAACATTGATCACGTGTTAAGAAGACACGAATAGAACATTTAACTTCAGTGTGACTTTATTTCACCAAATATCAGTAGGAATGATCTTTCTTACTTGAAAAGCACTGTAAACTGTTTTAGCTGGCCAGGATTGTACTTGTTTGTTTTGAAGGCTGCATCGATAGGGTCGAATCCGGACTTTTTGGTCTTACTATCATCACTTATGTCTTCCAGGCTTACAGAGGCAGCATGGCGGGTGTAGGCCGCGACCAAACTGTCGGAGATGTCGGAACTCCTGTTTTCCGTGTTGTCGGTTGTTGTATCCACCGTCGCCAGATCCACTACAAGGGAAGACCATGTCGTCACTTCCAAAACATAAATAAAGTCCTATATCCCGAAACAAGTATATGATGATGTCGATTTTCGAATCCACCTTATGAATGTGTAACAGTAGGTATATGTCGTTTCACGTGATACAAGGCCACTACAGTGCATAACTAACACTGCGGCTAATGTATGATACAAAGACAAAAGTTTAGGTTGGTTTGCAATAACACATCACAATAACTTTATTAGCCCGTGAATGTCAGCAGTATTACACTTATATCACCATCTTTTTTACATCTCGACCAGACAAACCAATGACTGAACAATGAGCACCAAGTTTGCGCCATCGAGAACGAGTACACATCCCAGCGAGCATAACAATGCTGAATCAATGCTGAAACAATGCTGTGTTACAACGCTGAAATGTATGGGGTGGGATTGTGCGGTAAAATTTTGATGATGTTGAAATATATGTTTAAAAATGCCATATCTCAACACACCTTCATATAATGAATGGTTAATGTTAAAAAAACGTTGAAACAATGTTGATGCAGCATGGTGTATTTATTTTTAAAAATAGGTACCAACTCCAAATAGGTAACAACCAAATTGAAACACTGAAACAATGCCATGAGCCTGCTGGAAAGTCACAGAGCTTGAGTCTTCGGATTCTGTTCTGATCACTACATCAGTATACCTACACGTGTCAGCTCAACATTGTCTTACTCAGATGCACCTACTGTAATGATCACAGGGATTGGTGAGTTCCGGGCAGGGAAAGCCGAGATCAGTGAAGTAGTCCACCATCTTCTTTGCCTCCCCGAAGTACACGATCTGACCTCGGGACAGCAGCAACACCATGTCAAACAACTCGAATATGTCAGACCTGCAACACCAGTCGACATTCAGTACAACATTCTGGAATCATATATACTGAGACAAACAAATAAGGGAACACCACCTTATCGCATTGTTTCGTTATATTTTCATATCTTAACATATAGTCAAAAACTGACTGAAAAGAATGAAGGAACTCTTGTCCTGTCATGTGTTTCTTATTTGTTTCCCTCAGTATGTATCAGACCTGTGCGAAGAAAACCCCATTGCTTGGTATTTTAAGAGTGTGTAGATATACATGTATAGCAAAAAGGTTATTGCACATCTTTCACGGGGACACAGCCTGGTGGAAGTTTGTATTTATGGGTTATTAGGGAACGCCGTACATATGTATGTGTACAAACTACAGAACTGTTGACAGGCTAAACAAGCAACACATTCACAAGATGGAAGTGTGGAATTAGAATTTTAGAATGTCGGAACTGGTAAGCATAATCATACATTCTATTCTCTTCTGCAGAAGCAATAGAAACAGCAAATCGCACTGTACATACCGTGGCTGGTGTATGGATAGAAGGACAGTTCTGTCGTTCTTTGCGAGATTTGACAAAGTATTTACGAGGTGGTGAGCCGTGAAGGAATCTAATCCTGAAGTTGGCTCATCCAGAAAAAGTATGCCTGAAACAGATGCAAAATATGCAACCACGCGTACGTGGAAAATTGTAACACAGTGAGAGAAGAGTATGGACAACAAACACAATTACAGAAAACAATATACCTACAAACAAGAAACACCTAAAAATGAAACGGCATACATGGATACAAACCGATGACGTATAACAGTTTATCTAGATAAACAAACATGAACCTTTGAAACAGTCTGCATGCTTGGATAAAAACAAGCAGCAAATCTACATAAAACAGCATACTTGGATGCATAGAATGGCCTGAAACGCCATACCATTAAACCATACACAAACAGATAAAACTGTATGCGTGGCAACACTATTGTATTCGTGTAACAAATGCTATATTTTCTCAGTAAAGTACAAATTCTATTACTTTTGTTGTGTTGAGTCCTATCCGGGATTCGAACCCACACCCTCAGAGTCAGGCACCTAATCGCCACCACACATTTATTGTATACGTTCACAAACAAAAACAACCACTTAAAATTGTATACTTGGACAAATAACTGTATACCTGGACAAACAAGCACAACTTCGTAAAACTGTATTAGTGGATAAACAATTGAAACACCTAAAACAGTATACCTGGATAAACAAGTTTCAAATGAAGATTTAGTGAACTGTCAGTGCCTTACTTGGGTCTACCAGAAGCTGTATGCCGATGCTGATCCTTCGTCTCTCCCCGCCTGACACCCCCCTTATCTCTGAGTTTCCCACCCTTGTATCAGCAACATGTGACAGGCCCAACTCCGACATCACATTCTTCACCTACATCAAAAAGGCATTAGCGACGATATTTAAGAGTTTACAAGTGCATGTTTCAACATATGGTGTATTTGGGAGTACACTTTCTCAGTAAAGTACAGATTCTTCCGAGTCTGACAACAGGGTATCTAAATCACGTACTCTGTGTACCCCTCTGACATAAGTACCACATTCTGAAGGGCATTGTGTATATAAGTGCGTTTTCTAAATCTCTCGATGATGTGTATCTTTCTTCCTTGGTAGCCCGGATTAGAATTGACCCGTAAGAGGATCATGCTTGTCGGGATCGGGTGGTCAGGCTCGCTGACTTGGTTGACACATGTCATCGTTACCCAATTGCGTAGGACGATGCTCATGATGTAGATCACTGGATTGTTTGGTCAAGAATCGATTTTTACAGACCGCCGCCATATAGCTGGAATATTGCTGAGTGCTGTGTTTAGCAACAAACCAACCAACTAATCCTTGATAGCACGTTAAAGAGGGTTGATGTCATGAGAAACGCTTCATGCTGTGATGAGATACGAAGGTGAAAAAACATCTAGGTCTAATATTTTAACCACAACATGGAAAAGAGTTGGGTTTTTTAAGCTTACGACTGATTTGTTCACTGATTATACAACTATTAACTACTCATTTTACACCTTACAGTGTCGGTAAAAGAGTGCCGGACACAGGCCTAATCAGGAGTGACCAGAATGTTTATTATTTTCCAATTAGATACATGCATGTCTCCTTCGTTTGTGCATATTCCCCGGTCACTCACCCTATCTTCCACCTCAATCTGTTTCATATTGGTTGGAAGTTTCAGCTGTGCTACAAACATAAGTGTCTCTCTCACAGTCAGGTTTCCGAGCAGCCGGTCGTCCTGTCGCACATAGGCTGAGCAGGCGTCCAACATAGTCCTGGTTCGTGCAACACCGTTCAGGTACACCTCACCGGTTACCTCCCCTGTCATCGTCCTGCATGCAATCACGTCAAGCAGTGACGTCTTTCCGCTTCCTGTTGGCCAAAGAAGTTTTGAGGGCGACATCAAGAAAAAGACATTTCAATATTTGAAAAGAGAGATATCCGTAAACCCAACTTTTCCAAGTTCAAGTAACAATTTTTATTACTTCTATAATTTGTTTTCATTATATATTCGACCTTGGTTGTCAAAATCGGTTTCAAAAATAATCTCAAGATCAGGACGATTGTTCTGTCATTGTCGCTAACATGTCTATTCGTTATATAAAAGAGGTTTGTTTTAATACATCAGAGGCATATACTTCTTGAAAACCTGCAACTACATGTATTTGATTGTATGTCTGCAGTCATCACAACTGGTTCAGTGGCAACTGATTGAAGATGGTGTATTTGATCGTAATAGGCATCCATTTATTATGATAAGACAACACCATAACCGTAATCGTAGGCTTCAACAAAGTTGTAAACGACTTATTATTAGGCTGCTTTAATGGGCTTTCCTCCCGCATTAAGTTTGATACCTTGCGTTCAGAGATTCGCTCCCTCACATACCTGAGCTTCCCATGATGGCCAACATCTTGCCGTTCTTGACTGCAAAAGAGATGTTTCTGAGCACCAGTTTGGTCTGCGGTTCCTCTAACCATTCCCAAGGCATCTGTAGTGCCGCCAGTCTCTGCCATATCTTGACTGGCCTGTCACTGACGGAATAGGACAGGTCTTCCACTCGGACATCCACGGGTGCATGTTTGTTGAAGTTAAGGTCAACGGTGAATACTTTATCGATGTCCACCATTTTCGTCAGTGGTAATTATGCACTCACGAACTGTCAATAAAGAACACAAAACACAGAATAGCAAAATTCCGTCTACATATTTTAAAGTCTGAAAATCATATTTCTACCTCACACACTCCATGAGTCCTAGAGGAAAATATCATCAACCATCAAGAATACTGTTTGAAGTTTACAATGTGCCAGTCTGTACCAGGAAAGTTTACGCATCCACCTTTCGCGGTACGCTTGAACGTGAGTGTCATTCACCGTATTATCACGACTGTTATCTTGCCTAGTCTAGTCGATGTCACAAATATCTCAAATGCCGTTACCCTTCAACCTCGTTAACCAGCGTGACAAAGCTTATCAATCCTGTCTCTGGACCCTGTCCTGTTGATCATAAGTGAAGCATTTACACCTTGAAAACATAAAACCACACAGTGAATTGAAAACGCCGAAATGAATTAATCATTTTTAAAATGATCTTCACACCGAGAGCGTCAGGAAAATGGTTTGAAAATGAAACTTATAAAATAAATCGAGTTGTATACCACAACAGTGTTCTAATAACTCGGTTACCTATGGAGAAAAAGTAATTAGGATATTTTAATTAAAACACATTACCTTCCACGTTGCAGACACGAGACCCCGATATTACCATGATGTACACATTGCCCCAAGGTTGAAAGTACTGTTGACGGTAAGGTACGCATGTTCTCGCCCTACATTTCACAGGGGGTGTTTATCTATCACTTGGGCGATAGAGGCACGAGGTCCGATAACGCATCAACTTGAGCGCAGATTAATTTTATCATGTGACCCAATCACATACAGTTTGTTTTCAACTGTGTAGCCAAACAAATTAAAAAGGTAAGATTTTCGTCTTTTGCGTTTTATTTATGTGTGTAAAATGTAAGTATTTTGGTTTAACGCTTTTCCTGATCACATCTGCAATGACATTACAAAGGAGAGTAGACAAGGGCAGTCAAGTCATACTTCCTTTTGTTCTACATTTGCTGACGTCGTGTAATTTCCTCTGTATTAAAGGGTTATTACCAGAGATGTGCATGTACATCTTGTTTTGTTTTTTGTATGGTGTGATTTCAAACGCAACCAGATTTCGTCCTTTTAATGAATCAAGTCACTCCCCAGGGAAAATATTAAATTCACTCGAGACAAGGACGTAAACGGGCTATTCAATTAGACGCTTGTTCGTTGTACCACCCGGGTCTCTCATCCAATTGTAACAACTTCAACAGACACTTAAAACGTGTTTTGCAGACATCGACTATTGACAATCATGATGATGAGTGGTTGAGTGAGTTAGTTACAATTCTCTATATTGCAGTCATATAATCATGCTTGGATACAATATAGTAACACAAACGTATTATTAAACTGAATTCCAACAAACCGCCATATAAATATGCATGATAATTTATAATGCAAAATATGTTTAACAATCGATGTATTTAACCAGATATTATGTAAATATATCAGTTATATTTGGCCAATTTCTGAACAATGTTGCTATATTTTACGTATTATTTTACTTAATATATGTGCTGAATATGGATTTCCGAAAAATACATTAATGATTAACTTGATTTTAAAATAATGTGACTAATTATTATATTCTTAAGGGTGAAATACTGTAAATATTGGTGAAAATAGATGTGGTATTTTTACTGAGTAGAGTAACATCTTATTTCACTGAGCAGAATATCACTTTTGCCTGGAACGTAAGGGCTTAACTGTAGTTGAGATGCGTAATAAAATGCAGACTTACTCGATGTCTCGATCATTTATAAACAATGATCAAAATATAATAAATAGAAGATGTTGTTAGTACATTAACAAAATATCCTCTATCTAATCCAACTGAGGCACTGCGTGGATTTAAAAAAATTAAAAAGTCCATTTCAAGAGAGGCAAATAAATTTTGTCATCATGTGAATACCATGCACCCCCATACCACTCACACTCTAACTCAACACCCCTATCGTTATATTCTGTGGCGTATTGAATATATGTATATCGTTTCTCCAATGACAATACTGTACATTTTGCCTTACCGTAAAGCAAGTGTTTTGATCCTGAGAGGATAGTGATTTCATCCTAGGATAATTTCACTCTAGAATGTATCAGTTCTAGGATGAACCCTTGAAGATGCGGGTTAGACTTGATCTTCAGTAATCCATGCTAGTCGTAGGAGGCGACTTACGGGATTGGGTGGTCAGGCTCGCTGACTTGATTGACACATGCCATCGTATCCCAGTTGCGTAGATCAATGCTCATGCTGTTGATAACTGGATTGGCTCGTCCAGACTCGATTATTTCCAGACCACCGCGATAAAGCTGGAATATTGCTGAGTGCGGCGTAAAACTAAACTCACTCACTCACTTAGTTCCAGGATCAGTTCACTCCTAGGACAGGATCACGTTAGAGTGAAATTTAAGGGAAGTATCTATCCTGCACTAAAGCCCGGCACTATGCACACACAGGTTGCAAGGAGCCAAATGCGCCCCATGTCTTACAACCAACTTTTATCGCGATCGAGGTTTTAACGACCTGGCTGTTTGTATGTCAGCCTACCCTACTCAAATCTTATGCTCACAACCACATAGTTCTGGTCGTCATGGAAATTTAATCGGCTAATTATACAGAATAGTATCGCTTCCAGTGTTGAACATAACAGTTCAGCATATAATGATGTAATGAGTGTATTGAAATATGATAAAATCCAAGTTGTACAAAAACATTACAAATCCCTTTCAATAGTTATCCAATGCACTAAGAGAGTATTATACTATTCTAATTACATTATGAATTAAACTACATGTATTTCGTATCATAGATTCAAAGGAAAATTAAAATACCTGATCACTGATCTGAGATATGTATTCTTTCCCACAGGTCACATAGTTCCCACACAAACATGGTATATTTCTCTAATGCGCCACATGCCTCCCAACCTTTTAACTGCTTGCTGGAACCTTGCGCTAGAATTGTTTTAAAAATAACAATTTTGTGAAATGGGCTTGCTCGATTGTATCTCGAACGTTTTGAAATATAAAGCTGGTGCAGCTTGAATAATGAACGACATCAAAGGAAAAAAAGTACCTTCGGAAAGCTGAAGCCCTCCTTCTTTCTTACTCTCAATCTGTATAAGCAGTTATTAAACTGTTGAGGCGGTTTCTCTATTTACCTTAGGTTGGAAATTCGGAAGGGTATTGGAAATATGGCTGCAATAGAACGATATCAGGCCGTCATTATACCATAAACTTAATGATAAGTAAGTTTGAGTTCTTGTTCTGAACTTAATTCTGATTCATATGCATAAAGAACATGATCAACATTGAGGGGACTACAGTTGGGGTCCGTTGTGAGGCCTAGTTCCAGCATAATTGTCCTGATTTCATCTATGGAGATGTCTAACGTTTCACACATCGTTATGTCAATAAAATACATTTGCTCTCATGTTTGACATATTGTTGTGTCCTTGAAGGCTGAGACGTAGGTGTATCAATGGACGTTCAGATGTTCCATTCAACAGCGAATGAAGTTTTCCCTTAACATGGTCATGTTTGAAAGCTGTGTATAGAGTTGAAAATCAAATGTTGTTTTTTTAGAGAATTGGCTCTTGTTACAAGATAATCCTGTAAATATAATAGAAAAGCCATTCCTTAATTGTATTAGTGAATATGACAGACAGACAGACACTTTATTCGGTAATATACGGCCTTATGGCCCATTTTACAGTTAATATATAATGTAATTTGTTTTAATGTCACGTGAGCACAAATTGAAATAGTTATCTAGCAATAAATATATGTTTTAACAATGTTGCAACTGCATGTATAACAAGAGGATTGTGAGAGTTTAATAAATTTACCATTAACATATTGTTTTTATGGACATATTTAATGTGTGGAAGATATTTCTCTCTCAAATCTTTATATTTATCACAAACTAATAATACATGGAATTCATCTTCAATAAAACCCAATTTTCAGTTTGCACATTTGATTAGGTCAATATCGTCTTGTTTATACCTTCTGGAAAAATTGACATTAAAATTGTGTAGGGAAAGTCTAAATTTACACATGGCTCTTATCAAATCCTTATTTTCTAATGATGTTAAATACTTCTCTTGTTCTATAGCTGACTTAATCGAATTATAATGACATAAAAAGGATGAAGATGAAATACTATTGTGCCAGGTTTGATAATACATTTTTGTAATCTTTGTTTTAATGAAAATAGAAATAACTCTTCATCACCAAAGACAATGATTTGGAAGTATGTTTGCTTAGCCCTGCAATACGTATCTATTTCTGTGGATGTTTATGGGACTTGTAATTTGTGAAGAAAACACGATGGTGGTATGGTAAGATAATATTCCATATATATATCTTCTGCCTGAATGTTCTAACCAGTATGATTATTTCAATGATCAGATATGGACAACACTACACTGCAAGATACGTCCTCGCTCCTCAGGTCCACCGCAGTCAGCCCCCTGCGCACTTCTGGTGAGACGGCGTCTCCGGTTCTCAACATAAAGGATGTGACCTACACGGTACAGGAATGGGAAGGCCCCTGGTGGAAAGGAGCCTGCTTCAGGAAAAGACGAAAGAAAACGGTTCTCAACAATATAACCATGTCCCTGAAGGGGGGACGAATAACAGCACTTATAGGGAGTTCAGGTAGGTGTAATTTTATATTTCAAAGACAAAAGCATCACTGAATAGACAACAATGTAAAACTGTGTCAATGTGTTTTCAGGATCAGGCAAGACATCGTTATTGGATGTGATAGCTTGTAGAGGTGAAGGTCAGCTCACTGGTCAGTTGTACTTCCGGAACAAGCCATGTAAACCGGAAGTGATGAAGCGACACGCGAGCTACGTAATGCAGGCTGATACACTGCTTCCCAACCTCACGGTCAAGGAGACTCTGACATTCACTGCCTTCCTTAAGCTTCCTGGGACTATGAGCAGGAAAGACGTGGAATCAAAGGTAGAACTTTTGTGTAGATGATTCTATATAAGTTTACCGATGACTGCTTATTATGACATTTGCAAATTTAGCAGGTAGAACAAACAATGATTAGGGTAACACAATATTTGGGCAGGGCTGTAGAAGTATCGTGTATAATAATCACCGTGTGTGGCAACAAAGATCCTTCAAAGTTATGCAGACAGTACGGTTTTTCCTGTAAATACAATGTGTATATTCAGGTGCAGGAAGTGATCGAACAGATGGGACTCCGCCATGTTGCAGACAGCCGCATCGGTGGTCAAGTGACCAGGGGTGTTTCAGGAGGAGAGAAGCGGCGCGTTACCATAGCAATACAGCTTCTTCAGGATCCAGGTATTAATCCTGTAGTATCAATGTGGAATGTCCATAAAAGTACAATAAACTTTAGCTGTGTACATTTATATATAGTTCTCTCTGTTCGCTTAATCAGAAATCCTTCTTCTTGACGAGCCAACCTCTGGTCTGGACAGCTACACATCCCGTTACCTAGTGATGAACTTAGCGGAACTCGCTCACAGAGAGGGCAAGATCGTACTTCTGTCCATGCACCAGCCTCGTTCTGATATCTTTAAACTTTTGGACGAGATAGCCATATTAACGCAGGGTCACCTGGCATATTGTGGGAAGACGAGTGGAATGGTGCCGTATTTCACTGACGTTGGATACCCATGTCCCCGGTATGCCAACCCCTTGGATATATATAGTGAGTGCTAACGTGAACAATCGTAGCGTTCTAGACATTTTGTCCTTTCTAAAGCATAATACCATAGAAAATCGAAAAGTTAATCATTATTTCCATGGCGTCAGGGAACAAGCACTTGCTTTTGATACAAATTGTGTGATTTATTGGCACTACTTAAAGGGCAGAGGATGCTTGTCCTTTTCGCGAACACCTGGTGTCATCACTGATTTTCGGTGAATCATTTATATGATATTCATCGATATTTGTATTTTACCCTAAATATTCATTTTCGGTGAGTTAACCGAGTTAATTATATGTTTCCCAAAAGAATCGTCGGTCTGGTAAAGTAAATGTGGACAATTGAGAACTGCTTAGTAATTAATTATAAATCAAAATGTTAATTCCCTTTACCAAATGATCATTACTGGAAGAACTCAAACACCATTAAGTAATGACACATAAAATGATATTATTGATACATTTGAACATGACAAGATGTCCATTGTGGAAGAAATCTATGCATTATATCCGTTCGAGGGTAAACATGCAAATACATGCAACCCTCTAAAGTCGAAATGTGTGTGTGTTGTTACAACTGCGAGTATCTATCGATTATGATCATAAGCCATGTCACGATATAAACGTTCTTACAATAAAATATTTAGAACTATATCATAATATTCAATCTGTGACGTTTTTCTTTTCCTTTCGCCTCTAGTCGATGTGTCCAGTGTAGACAGGAGAAACAGTAGACTTGAAAGTGTGTCACAGAAGAGAGTTGACAAGATAATAGGAGCTTACAGGGACTCCTCACTGTACAGTAGCATTCGGTCCGGCATCAACGAGTCCCTAGCTTCGTTACATCCTGTGCATAGAGACAGTGTGAGACGTGGACCTCCGTGGTTGAGAATTGTCAAAACCCTTGTCAGGTATGATTAAAATTTTCGAAATATAAAACATGAATTGATTATCCCTTTGATTATCTGTTAAATGAAACATGTTCCTGATCCTGTAAAAAAACTGCTTTGGATGAACACACAACATGTCTATCCCAGCTTGTGGAATAATGAAAATGACACAACAAAATGAAAATGCAACTGTGTTTCAAAAACCCAATAATGTATTAAATATTCTTCCGATCTTTTTTACTATCAGCCGGATGACACTGAACCTGTCACGTGACAAACAGGGCTTTTTGAACCGGATAGTGTTGATGCCAGCATTTGTGGTGTTCATAGCGGTGTTCCTGGGTCGCCTGAAGAACAACCAGGAGAGTATACAGGACCGCGCTGGTCTCCTGTACCAGACAGTGTCAGTGCCTACACACGTGGCCATCCTCAACATTGTTCCTCTGTGTACGTACAGATTATAGATGAACAATACCTTGTTTTAGTGACTGAAGTAGAACATGATTATTATTTGGTACTATCGTTCTATCCATGTTGAGAATGATGTAAACGGTACAATTTCTGATTCTAGATTCTAGATTCATTCCACTCCAATTCTTGTCAACATTTAACCTACAACACCTTGGCAGTACTGAATATAAATAATCTATGTGGGAATAGTTGGAATCATACGTGCGGATTTCGCACTTTATTCTTATGGATATACTAAGGTTTTTGTCGCTTACATTTACTAACAGCTCAGTTGCTGCACTGACCGTTAAAACTCTTATAAAATTTACCTTCAGCTCAGTGCCTACACTGCTCATGCGATGTCCAATAAACATTTACTTCTAGGTCCGAAGCAGCTTTGTTCATTTAATTTTTCATCTACACAACTGTATGCTAGTTGCTTAAGAGACGAAAAGGGATGGACCCATAGGCCACTCTCTGTGATTGCGTCTCATGGTTCCCCGGTTATCTGGTTCTGGTCACCGATAGAACTGTTTACTTGTGATATAACTACAACATTGAAAATACACTAAACGCCAAAAGAAACGTTACCCTCCTTCCTTAATGACGGAGGTACCTACCTTCAGCTGGCGTTGTGATGCGTGGACGTCCACTTCTTGGTCTGTCTACGGTGACCCCAGTATGTCTGTACCGCTGAAGAAGTCTTATAACCGTGATACGGTGGCATCCGAGGGCGTTGGCAACAGCATTGTATGTCGACCGCATCTGCACCCTCCCAATGGCTGTTTCTCTCTCATCAGCTGTCAATCGTGGCATATTTCTCGTACTTGTGTATCATGCATTCTAGTCTCTCTGTATACCCTATAGAATCATTCTATGGATGCAAATACTGCTTGAAAATTGCTACGTTTTGGCGATTGATATTGCTATGTGTGAACAGAAAATGCAAAAATGTTACTTTGCAAGTAAAAATGTTAACAAAGATGATTTTAGAAGTTCATAAACACTTTTCCACAATATCAAAGACACGGTTTACTTGTTTTCACTAATGCAAATCAGCAGAAAATGTTTTAAAAGACTGAAATCATAGGAATGATTATTTTACAATTTAAAGCACTCTACAACAGTAGTTTCTTGTTTTAATAGTTGACAAATTGTGACTTTAAATGGTTTATCTTTGTCTCAAAGCAGAATTTTATTTCACCCTTTCTTTTGGACATCTAAATCACTGTTACTGGTTTATTTCGGCATTGTCGAATTTTGCATTTGAGAATTCATTTCGTTATTTGCACAAAGCTATGTTGTTAAGCTTTCTTGTAAACTAATACCTTCTAAAGTATCTTTGATAGTTTTTAAGTAATTCATAAAGGTAGGAGGGTAACGTTTCTTTTGGCGATTAGTGTACAATATTCACTTACACGGAACCAGCACTGCCCGAATTACTTTCGAACACAACCCAAGGCCCCATCTCAACACTGTCACGTAAGTATATTCACATTGTTTCAGTTCCCAGTATTCGCGAGGTGTTCTACAGAGAATGCCGTGACGGCCTGTACTCCACCGCTACGTTCCTGGCTGCCTACACCATCCACATGTTGCCATTCTCCATCCTTGCCAGCGTCATCTTCAGTAGCTTCTTGTACTGGTAAGGACATCATGGTGTTCGTTTTAAGTATAGTGCTGAGTGTTTGTTGTTTTGAAATCAAGCATTTCGGTTGTATCCTGACATACTAATATAAATTGGAAGTTACCCCAAATGTTGTCAGAACTAACTATAGCATAATGGCACTGATAACTGACGCAATTCCACACTGAATGACTGTGCCTTCGACCATCTTTACATAGTGGAATTCAAGACGTGTATTATTTTCATCTGCAACGTTTCCTCGATGGAGATTGATCACAGAAAGTAATGCGACTTCAGTTTCAAATTTAAGAATTTTTCTTGATATCGTAAGGGTGGTTCGGGTAATTTTGTTGTTAATATAAAAGCATACGCTCACCCCGAGGACCTGGGTTAAATTCCATTCAGTTTGTCCGGTATCCTTTGCTGAAATATTGATGTAAACGGGGTAGAACTAAACTCACCAACTCAGTAACTACTGATATCGACACGCAAGGATTTGTTTCGAGGATCTGCACCAGTGTCAGGATATCTCCCAGTAGAATTCTCAGAAAGCTAATAAAACATAAGCTATTTAACATGATTACTGCAACCTTACAATTTATCTAAACAGATAGATACGTAATCACAGTGAGGCTAGATTCCGCCATGACAAATGATTTCTGGTTAAGCTGAAATCGAAATAAGACAATGCCACTTACTTTATGCCATGGTTTCCTCCCCACGTGTCTATTCCAGGACAGTTGGCATGTCGGATGATCCTGACAAGTTCGGGATGTACGTGGGCGTGGTGTGTCTGCTGTATTTTGCTGGAGAGTTCCTCACAGTGGCAAACATGGGTGTCTTCATGGACTCGCAACTCGTCAACAACTCGACCGGTCTCATGTTCACTGCTTCTGCTGTTCTTTCCTCGGGCTTTTTGAGGTAACCTTACAGTACATTCGACGTTTACAAAAGTATGTAGTGGATTGGGTAGGACACATCTGGCTGTCATTACTGAGAAAATGTACATCAATAACACACTCGTCGGCCACCCAATCAACCCCTCATGATATCGGGGCGGTGGGGTAGCCTAGTGGTTAAATACCAGGGTTCGATTCCCCACATGGGTACAATGTGTGAAGCCTATTTCTGGTGTCCCCCGCCGTGATAATGTTTGAATGTTAAAAACGGCGTAAAACTAAACACACCCACTCACTCACCCTCATAATACCACGTGGCCGGTCCATATAGTGTCTTTATAGTAATATGTATGTATGTCTACCCGCTATATGTAATGGCAGCTATATTTGACAAGGCTTTACCCGTTGTGATATGTTGCATGCCGTTATGTACATAGTGGCTCACTGCCACCCTTCTCTTTGTTGTGTATGCAATTCTTTAGCTTGAATGTCTTCCTACAGGGCGGTACCCAACATGCCTGAGGTCTTCAGGTACATCAGTTATGGAATGATTCATAAGTACGGCAGTGAGATCGTCGCGGCCAATGAATTCAGAAACCTGACCTTGACATGTGACCAAATTACTAAATGTAAGTTTATTTGAAAATTGACAAAAATTGTCTTAGAATGATGTATATCAAAACTGACCTAAACAATTAAGGACATTTACATTTTCCTGACAAATACCATGTTTACCTTTATCGATTGATTTAATAAAGCTAATATGTTCAATCGTGCACAATAAAAATGAAAAGTTTGTGAGGCCTGAAATCTTGACAAAGCCTGCCTCTGTACCTATCTGCTAAAATTACTTGTCACCGCCAGAGAATATTCAACTTCGATTATCAACCGAAACAGATTCTATTGAGCGTAAAAGTGTAAACAGTGAAGAAAAATATGTGAATTAATCAATATTTTTGATGACACCAATTCCTCACGAATTTTGTAACAAGGTCCTGCTATACCAAAATCGCCTGCCATTAATACAATTTTCTTTGAAAAAGTAAATGTTTGCTGAGCAGGGCAGGACTATACGTTGGATAATTGTTTTTGGGTGCTCATGATGTTAATCACTAGATTGTCTGGTCCACATTCGGTTAGTTGCACATTGCATTCTGAATCAACCGTCTGATCTTTGATGTGTATATGTTGCAGTTGTTCCATGTGTGTTCACCAAGGGCATTGATTACCTCAACTTAACATTCCCCGGGGTTGTCGGACACATTGACAGGAACTTCGGCGTCTTGGCGGGTTTTTCACTCTCATTCGTCGTCCTGACTTACATTGCTTTCAAAGTTCGCGGAATACCAAATCTACATTGATTCCAATCTTGATCGTGCTCGAGCTTTGTGAGACTGTTTCACATTTGTTCGTGTATATTGGTTCGGAAGGCAAGCAAACTGTTGATATAAAAATAAAACAATGTCCATAAGGTATTGCAAGATGTTTTCTTTCACCTTCACGTATTATAGTTTGCGAATTATCATATTACAATGTTCGCGTCAGATGGCTCTGTTTTAGTGATTTAGTGAATTTGGGTATGAAACCGGTTTCTCGGTATTTCATGAAAATCAATTTGTATGAAAATTGGATGATCCTTTCGAAAATATTGACTATACGTATATATCTCCTATCGCTCTGTGGGAATACATCATTTTATTATAATTATTATTTATTTTAAGTTCGAACTCTCGGTAATGATTCTAAATGATTTATGAACTCTAATAAATGAACTCTACTTTTAATGATTGGCATAGACATACAATAAAAAAACATATGACCAATAGAATAAAGCAAAACAAATACTATTGGAAAAATTGTTTAAAGTTAAATTTTCAGTCACCACCAACATATACTTTGCCATGGAATAATTATTGAATATTCACCCAGTATGTTTCCTTATTGCAGTTCGTGCATTTTCACTTTGTAAACATGTAAACTTTTGTTGTTGGCTATTTTTTCAAAATATTTATTTATATGTAAATATATAGTAAATGGTGTTTAATAGTTTCCACGTTTATATTTATTGCGCATCATTTGTGCCTCCTTTGTTCTTCTCTGTTGTTCTAATGTACAATTAAAATGTGTATCCTTTACGTCAAGTTTTCTGTGATGAAATTGTACTTACTGATTACGTAAACAAATCTATTATGTTTAAACCGGTTCATGTTTCGCACAAAGAATTATGTTAAGCTCAATGTATACATACTACAGCAAAAAAATCACATTGAACGTTGGATGTTTGGAATGTGTTGGTTGATGGTGCGTCCAACGATGAGGAGTGGTTGATGTATTATGAATAAATATTTAATTTGCATAAATATACGTTTTCATGTTTTACACTGAACATTTATCGTTCGTTGTAAAAGATAACTTGTTGTGGTTCAGAAATTGTTTGACCTCTCCTTTCAAAAATATGTTCTATTTTCTTGAAGCATTTGCTGTTGCTGATTTTAGGCCCTCTTAACATATGTGATAATGCAGAAAACAACGCTTACCTCCTTACTCGCATTAACTGAATTTACTTATTTTCTGCGTTTTCATTCTGCTTTAATGTGAACTCGTTTTCGGACACAGTAGCGTTGACAACACTGTTATCTGTTCTGAAAATAGAAAAAAAATCCATTAAAAATACCTTGACCTTCGTTTACCCTTCCGACGATCCACAGCAACAGACTGAGTATTACCTCTCCCAGTGCTATGTCAGAACTGACACTATGACCGTATCACGTAGGGAACACAGCGACCCACCGTGTGTGGTGGCTGTTATCGGAGTCAAGTGTATGTGAACCCAACTGAGTTGAATCCGGTAAACACCCATGATCTTTTATACTGAAAAGTACGGGGTGTCATGTTATCGTGGAGAGAAGTAATTTATACCAATGTACACTTTGAATTTGCTGTCTGCCACAGTTGATACTTTCCAGATTTGCTGTGAAGACAGGCAGAGGGCTTAAAGGTATGGGTGTATTGTTGATAAGACGAACGCTTTAGTGCACATACCCACGTAAACTCTCGTGTGTTTTAAATAACGAGATTTGTTTTAATTCGCGTTATAGCAACGCGTTAGTACCCAGCATGACAGTCGGCATTCAGGGGATATAAAATAGGGGCTGGTTTGCTCAGAGTTGCTTTACTGTGTCTGGATGCGGTATCCAGGTATGCGTATTGCAGCTCGGTACCTGAGTGGGCTAGGATTAAAGAAGCGAAATTATTTTGTACCACAGACACACGTGCGCGCGCACACACATACACACACGCAGTTACTTATGCATGGATGTCATACGTGAAGTATTTTTAGCCCAAGTTGAAGTAATCCTCATAAATTAGACAGCTTCTTGGAAATATCTCCGAAATTACATGTAGATTATATAGGTGACATACTGTGACATAATGTAATGATAATCCAATCATACACAATGACACTAAATACGTAGGAAGAGAGAGAGATCGATTGCATCATGCATCACAACGTAACATTTCAACTAACGGGCCTACCCACGGCTCTGTAAAGTAATATTTCTACTCACACTACTTTCCATAGGATGTGGCAAAAACGCAATTGACGAAGTCGGTTATCGCATTAGTTAATGTCACGCTAATATAACGTGTGTTTACACCACTCCGACCGCTGTACATGATATATGGTTAATCTAAATCGGTGAAATGCTCTTGCGGGCTAAACTGGATACACCTGGACTGTTATCAGATACAGTGAACAACATCACAAAGGTATTGTGGCCATTGCTGCGAATGACTGTATAGCAGTCAAGCCAGAGCAATACCCATTTGCTGCTTAATATATGAAGTGAAAGCCTGGTGCAGGCAAAGGGTAAGAATATATGAATTATGCCTAGGTGTACATTATGTATCTACTGATCCTAGAACTGTCATTGTAGATTTGAATTTGTTTAACCTAAAATCGTGGGTTGAAATTCCCATTTGCCCGAATTATGTTTCTAGATTTGCCAGCATCATATCCGTTTACCCGATAGGTGTCACCCAACTGTTAAATTTCAAACATTACTACTGTGGTTTTCGTTCTATGGAGAAACCACCGACGGCATGTTCTCTTCGCTAGGGTATATTTAAGTCCCGTAACCAGTCAACACCACTAGAAATGCATGGTGTCATAGTTCGTGATGGTTACGGTTGATGTTTTCGTAAGTCACACAAGTATTCCATTGATTTTGAAACAGTAAGAAGGGGAAATGGACACCTCCACGTTGACGGAAGTGAATGGCGTTTTTCGTCCTATGTCACCCATGCCGTCGGAAGTGGCTTGTGAAAACGATAGGACCTCCGCCGGCGTCATCTCCGTAAAAGACGTGTCGTACACAGTGAAAGAATGGATGGGGCCATGGTGGAAGGGTTTGTGCTTCAGAGAACGTCGGCAACGGAAGGTGCTCAAGAACATTTCAATGCTACTGGAGAGTGGGAAGATAACAGCTATCATTGGAAGTTCTGGTGTGTAGATGGACTGGATTCAGGGTCCATTCTGTTTACTGCTGTGTGCGTATACAAAAAGCTAAATTATCCCAGTTACAAATTTCAATTAGTCTATTTCAGTATATTGTTTAGGAGTTATTGTCATTAGTTAATTATTTTCCCTTTTGATGAAAAGAAACCAATGAGACCCCCTTATCTCATTTTTATATCTATGCATAATCATTTGGAGTAACAAAACAAACACAGGACGTTATATGACCAGAGAGATTACTTCAAGTTTCCTGTGGTCAACTTTCCCTTATAGTGATCAGTGTCCCAGCAGCTCTAGTCTTGGTAACTGCGTTTCACAAAATACAATTCCTGCTATGGCGATACGACTCTTGCTTAAATGTTGTTTGCACACTGTTTACCTGTAAATGGATATAGACACCGCGTCCTTTGTTCCAAGTCATATGGGTTGTATTCTGACTGTAGGGTCTGGAAAAACGTCATTGCTTGATGTAATATCCTGTCGTGGAGAGGGGGAAATGAGTGGGGAGATCTGTTTCCGGAACCGGAAGTGTACAGGTAGTCTGATGAAGACGTATGCCAGTTATGTCATGCAAGCAGACCGACTGCTTCCGAACTTAACTGTCCGAGAGACCCTCAGATACACGGCGTACCTGAAACTCCCCGGTGGTACCAGCAAGGCGGATGTTGAGGAAAAGGTAGATGTCTGATGTTTACTTCAGTTTTAACAGTGTCAACATCCGTTCAAAGGCAATTTCATTTGGAAAAATTGACAGAAATTCTGCCATCGTGTTCCCGTTCGTAAAGTACCATTTCTTAATAGAATAAGCATATTGAGTCCAAGTGCCTTGGACAAATCAGGAATGTTGTGGCATCGTTACGCGATTGTGTGAATCTAAGCTGACATTGTCACCCGTTGGGTAAATCATTCCAGGTGCAGAAAGTCCTCATGGACATGGGACTTCGTAATGTTGCCGACAGCCGCATAGGTGGCGCTATCATCAGGGGTATTTCTGGCGGCGAGAAAAGACGTGTCACTATCGCACTGCAGCTGCTTCAGGACCCTGGTAACTATAACCTAACTAGCTTCAGAATAGAATAGAGTAGATAGTAACCTATGTCAGGCATGTTGATACAAGTTTGCTCAAAATGATTTGATAAATTAAGTAAACATTTGATGTAGCACTTCGAATATAATGACAATATTACACTGTTTACTATTTACCTCAGTGATTCTCGTAACATCGTAACACGTTATATTTGGGATTACACTTTTCTCAGCAAAAGTGCTAGAGTCTATATATTTCTGAGAAAGTGTAATCCCAAATATAACATGTGTTACATTTGACCACTTTCTAAATGGCATTGTGTATTCAGAGATTCTCCTCTTGGACGAGCCCACCACTGGGCTAGACAGCTACACGGCACGTTACCTTGTGTCCAACTTGGCGGACATAGCACACAGAGGGAAGATTGTTGTCCTTACCATCCATCAGCCTCGTTCTGACATTTTTAAGCTGCTCGATCAAGTCGCCATCTTGTCTCTCGGTGAACTGGCCTACTTTGGGAAAGTTGACAATCTTGTACCGTACTTCACAAATCTTGGTTACCCATGTCCAAAATACGCCAATCCTCTTGATGAATACAGTAAGTCCTCTGCTGTAGACTTGAGTGATACGTTGTGAAAAAAATGAATAAACCTGGGAGCAATAAAAGCTGTACTGAAATACCTTCACTTCGAAGGCGTAGTGTTGGGACTGGACCTTAGAGCCTTGACCTTAACTTAGTCTTAATTATTTCTTTCAATTTAGTGAAGTATAATTTGGCAGAATTCCATTGTAATTACTGAAATAACAGAAATGAAAATACATTACTTTTTCATCAAAGAAGAATTAACACAATTCGTTTCTCTGAATAAAGGAGAAAGCATAACTTTTGATGAAATAAACAGTGAATGTAGGTGCTTTAGTGAGCCAGTTGCGTTTTTGTTGGGACATGGCTTAAGGTTTACATACGACAATTTTTCTTAGACAGTGTGATTTAGCAATGCTATTTACTATAAAGTCCTGTTTTCCTAATACATATTATTTACGAACTATTCGCCTTATTCTTGTGCACTTCTTGGACCCAATCTAGAAAGCGTTTGTGGCACTACATCATTCGTAAGTAAAGAGTATAGGTCGTAAAGCTAAGAACTCCATGTGGATCGGGATCCAGCTATGCTATTCATAAGTATCTTACGCTTACCTAATATCAGGATTGAACAATCATTTACAGTTGACGTGTCAAGCGTTGACAGGCGAACACCGGCTAGCGAGGAGTTCACGCTCAAACGAGTTCGCCACATTGTGAACACCCATACTGAGTCGGAGGCATTCAACGAAATGAGACACAACATTGCCGATTCCGTCGCCCGCTCAGCAATGGTCAAGCCTGGCTACTGGACAGGTCACACGGGTGCAGGCACTCTCAGAGTACTGTGGGTTTTGCTCAAGTAGGTCCCGATAATATTCATACAGTTTTCTCGTGTGCGTGCGTGCGTGTCATCATAGGTGTCATACACTTATCACCCAAGATGGCGGACACACCAAATATGGATTTATCGTCAGTACACATTTAATTTGATTTCATCAGTTCCCTTTATGTTTTGTCGGTATTATATGTGTATGGATTGGGGAAATGTTCATTTGTAAGCTAGAAGTATATTTTTTTGATAATGTTGCATACGTTGTGTAATTTACTGTGCAGGGTTGCGTCCCTTGATAAGTTTATCTATTTCCACTTAAAACAATGAGCGACGGGTTCGTCTATTAACGTCTTTATACTACCATGTAGGAAAGAAGAGAGATGTGTCAGATAAAAGGCGTTCATTTACGCCTCAGTGTCAATGTGTAAGGGCTTTTGAGTTTAGGCTGCTTTGAACAGTACTACAGTATATCCTATACCCGCCAATGAGGAAAGTAATGACATTTATAATATTATCATGTACAAATTAAGTTACATCTCATGAATTCCAGTCACCCATCAGGACATATGCAGTGTCTATCTTTATCCATGTTACAAACAGCTTCTGCAGCTTGTTAACTAGGGTTTCCTTTTAGTCGGATGCATACAAATCTAAGCCGGGACCGGAGCTCCTTTATGTGGCGTCTGACAATGCTGCCCAATTTTGTGTTGTTCGTGGTGATCTTCCTGGGGCGCTTGCAGTACAACCAGAAGAGTGTGCAGGACAGGACGGGGCTGCTGTACCAGTGTGTCAGTGTACCGCCCTGGGTCGCCATTGTCAATGTCATCGGACTGTGTAAGATGGTCATGAATTCTTTACGCATAGATAAGTGACACAACAACGTATGGTATGGGTTCATATACTTCTTCATAAAGAAGTTGTAAATCCATACCATACGTTGTGGTGTTACCATCCAACTTCTGAATGCCCATCAAGCATCTGATAAATGAGTGAGTCTTTTAGTTGGTTGAGTGGGCTTCACACAGTTTATTCATATCGGGAATCTAACCTGCTTATCACACAAGACTGTGCTACCGCCCATATTACCATAAGTGTTGGTTTTACATTGCGTAGATCGATGCTCATGATGTTGATCATTGGATTGTCTGGACCCACAAGGCTGTGCTACCGCATTGGATCTGTTGTATGAAAACATTTTGTAGATATGCTTTCTATAAATTGCAGTGACATGGTTGTAAGTTTGGATTGTCTATGACACATCTCGAATTATTAATGCTCAGTGTATAAGGAACGTGATTTGATATGGTGTTTACAAGGTTGCGTATAATTTTTCAAATCAAGTCAAAATGCATATTAAAATTTAGATGATCATTTGTTATATGCAATGATGTTTCAGTTCCCTCTATCCGAGAAGTATACTACAGAGAAAGTAGAGACGGTCTCTATTCGTCCTTCACCTTCCTGACAGCATATGCCCTGCACGTGCTTCCTTTCTGTATGGTCTCAAGTGCTGTGTTTGCCACGCTCATATACTGGTCAGTTACATGTGGTATATACTGGTCAGTTACATGTGGTATATACTGGTTAGCTACATGTCATATATACTGGTCAGTACATGTCATATATACTGGTCAGTTACATGTGGTATATACTGGTCAGTTACATGTCATATATACTTGTTAGTTACATGTCATATATACTTGTTAGTTACATGGCATATATACTGGCCAGTTACATGTCATATATAGAGGTTAGTTACATGTGATATATACTGGTCAGTTACATGTGGTATATACTGGTCAGTTACATGTGATATTTACTGGTCAGTTACATGTGATAGATACTGGTCAGTTACATGTGATATATACTGGTCAGTTACATGTGGTATATACTGGACAGTTACATGTGGTATATACTGGACAGTTACATGTGATGCTGGTCAGATACATGTTTGCGGTGTGTTCTGATCAGTCTTAGTGATAAATATTAGTTGGTGGCGGTGAGCTCATACCTGTTCAGCGTCTTAAAATCTGCATCACGTCGCTCTATTTCCTTCCACATGCTGCAAATGTTATATCTCTAAGACGTGTCATTATAACCCTTACTGTATTGTATCTCACCGTCAGGATATCTGGCATGAACTCTGACCCGGTGTTGTTTGGGGAGTTCCTGGCTGTCGTCTTCATCCTTCACTACGGTGGGGAGCTACTCACAGTGTCTATGATGGGATTGTACTTTGATCCCCAGCTCGCCAACAACACCACCGCCCTCATCTGCTCGGCATCAACCGTGCTTGCCTCTGGATTCCTCAGGTAGGCTAAACGTGTCAATGTTCATCAACTGTCTTGTTATTGTCTATTTGTGTTAATGTAACCTTTCTCCAGTTTAAACATTTCTGTAATATGAGATAGTTATGAATAGAAGGATTAGATAAAAGATTGTAATAATAAACATCTTATATATCTTCTAATAACACTTTGGGATGTGGATGGGTCATTTGTATTTGGCTCATTACTGTGTGGATTTCCAGCCAGTGACTCTTAAGATCTAATTATAGAAGGTTCGAATCAGATTCCGTAATTCAAGCAATCATGGTTTCAATATATAGTGGTTTAAGTCCAGCAAGACGTTAGCACTGGTGGTCTCAGTTAACTCCATAATGTTAACCAAGAGACGGACGCTCACGTCATATATCTTTAATGTGCCGATGGCCATGTACACACCACAACCGCTTGGTTTGAGATATTAAGAATATTAAACGATGTCCCGTGTAATACCATATTTATGAAAGTGAATGGTTTGGTATCTAACGAGCGAAAGCGAGTTAGTTACCGATACCATTCACGAGTTTCATAAAGATGGTATTATACAGGACATAGTTTAGTATTTTATTTATTACTCACGCAACATTAGTAAAATAATATCGAGCAAAGTACTTCTTTCCAAAGAATTCAACGAGTGTGATGACTCTCAACTTTCCGCAAGTCAAGCAAGGTCTAATATTATTGTGATAGAGGTATTAGCATTGTGACGTCATAACTGTAAACCACTTTGACGTCATACGTACGGCATCACGTGATGTTATTACACAATGTGTAATAACATTGTAAAATTATTAAACAGTGATATATTCAACGGGTAAGTAATAAAAGATCATTCGCTCTCACCTCAGGACCCTGGACAATCTTCCCGAGCCCCTGAAATGGCTGAGTTGGGGAACCATACAGAAGTATGCCAGTGAAATATATGTGGCCAACGAGTTTCACAACCTCAACCTGACGTGTGATGACAGCAGCAAATGTAAGATCTCACATGGGGGTTTAGGCTGCAAGAAATACAATAAAGCTTCCTGGACCAGTCTCTGTTATCTTCCCGCTGTATTTTTAAAAATCACTTCTGCACAAACATAGCAACAATAAGCAAAGCAAATACTTCAATTCACATGAAAGATTTCCACAACATTTCAAATATCTAGTTCCATAGGTCAGTGTGCAATTTGTCACGTAAGTAAAGGATAGTAGTTTTGATGTACAGAGAAATTTAATTTATTCAATCAATCCATATGGTATACATGATCTTAGGTTCAGTTTCTTTATAATCCAAAGAGTAAATGGCTTAGAGACCAGAATTTCACATCTGTAGACGGATTATAGTTGGAGTACTTTTATTTAACAGATTTTTACAAATTCATTATTTCCCGCTTGATATGGGTAAAAGTTACGTATGGTGTTAGCCATTCTCGACTTACGATTTTGAAGTTTCTAGTTTTATTCTCTTGTCATACTCTAATATAATATTGCGCTTTGATAATAGTTTATCTATTTTGTTTTTTTAATCCGCTGGAGTTCTCAGTCTATAGATGTTTAAATAGGGACATTCAACAACATTATTCATTCATAACACAGATGGTATTCATTCGTAATACAGATGAGGCCATTGGCCTGTAATATGCTCAGCAGCAAAAAAACCGTCAGTACGAATTCAAAATTAGATAGGCACTGTAATCAGATCATTACAGACACGGACATAATGAGCGGATCAAAAACATTTTTTGTGTACAATATCTTGACACATCGATGAATAACTCAGCACAATTCAAAGACATTACGTGAACGTAGCGCACCGCTGTGATGCCGCCTCCTCTCTCTGGACCAAGGTTCTGGAACACCACAGGGCCCACTTTCTGGTTCAGGCCTATTCCATCCCATACCATGATGCTTGCACTTCCCCATGACTCTCTATCCATAACACATCGGTCTGAGTAACGCTGGCCACGTCGTCGCCATATTCTTGTTCTGCCATCTGCAGTTCATACGCAGTACCGACTCTCATCTGTGAACAGAACAGTTCTCCATTGCCTGTTTCGCCAGTTTAGGTGTTGTAGGGCAAACTGTAGACGTTCACGCCGATGACGAGGGGTGAGGTAAGGTCTACGGCAATGGATGTTCCCGATGTTAAGACGTCGGCGTATTGTAGCAGTACTGATTGGTCTTCCGTGTGTTCCCACTGTCTGGCGTGAAGGGATTCTGTACAGGTTATATCCCAAAACTTCCACATCCCAATACTACCACACATTGTTCAAACAACTACTCCTCGTCAACCCTTTTTAGGTAATAGGATAGCCCAGGAAGTGCACTGAACTGAAACAACAGGTAATGATACATCACACCTGACTTAGCAGAGAGGAGATTTTTTTAGAGAAGACAGCAGTAAGTTAATAAATCTGAAAGATATATAATATAAATTTGTGCATATTTCATGTAGGTCAAAATTGTAAATTGTGTTTTCTTGTTTTACCTTGAAATGTTGTTGATTACGTTCATAGAATTCTGAACATGCAAAACATAAATTATGCAAGCTTAATGTACATTTGATGTACATGTATGTCAAAATATGTAGTTTTACAATATAATGAGTTTTCAAATTTTATATTTATTGCTTAAAAGGGGCCAACAAGCCAAACAATTCCTTTCAATTCTGATTTGCAAATATAAAGTAATATGTACCGAAAAATTCCAAATGAGAGTATGAATTTGTTATGCTTACTTGAGGCACTACTACCAAACATATTTTGCACTACCAAATCCAGGCATAAACACATAAATCAATTTTAATTAAATAAGGAAATTTATAATGTTATGGTATGGACATTGGCATTAATTGTTATGGTAGTGACACAGTAACGGTAGTGACATTTGTAACAATAGCGAGTTTTATATGTTTACTTTAAAAGATAATTAAAAGAAATTTGTCAATCAGATATTTCAGAATGTTTAAAGAATATGTAATAGGCAAAAGATTTACATTTATTATGGATGTCCCTGTTATGTATAAAACAGGTAAAGACTGCATGTTACGGCAGTGACACTGTGACAGTATAAAATGCTCCAACAACAGCATAGAGTGACAGGGTTATGACTGTCAAATGTGCGGGTGAAATCTTGGACACTATAGGACATATGTTTCATATAGATGTTCTACATAGGCTGTTATATGTAACAAGGGTGGTGCGCATGCGTCAAAAGAGACAAAAGTGAGCCTTTTTGGTTTCAAAACTGCTTTTTAACAATGTACTGAGGAACAAGTGTCACCAGAAATGCTCTAGTAAGTAGTATTGAACCGAAATATCACAGATCGAGTGTATTTTGACTTTTGAAACGAAGCACATTTCAAGTGGTGAGACATTGATAGCTGTCAATAGCTGTCACTCAGTTGCCTATCACCGATTGCACGTGAGAAATGGGAGACTCACTTATGAGCTGGCGTGGTCGCATCGGTTGCTTGTCACCACGTAGACGAAATCGACAAAGACCTGTGAAAACTTGAAATATTTCTGGACAATTTATGACAAGACAATTGCAATTTTATCTCATCCTGAACCTTTTTCTTCACGTAAGTGCCACAAATGTTAAGATGCATGAGCCATAAACTTAATGTACAGCAATATCGATATGATAAAAATGTAAATACTGAATTACTGAAGGGTACAAAATGTAATTATAATGTCATTCAAGATGAATTTTACTTTCTATTGGTCTGTCCATACTATGATGAAAGCAGGAAACTGTTGTTACCAAGTTATTTTTATACCTATCACACACATGAAAAGTTTTATTTGTTTATGTCTTCGCAAAATCAAGAATGCTTAAAAAAATCTTGCAACCTTTTTGAAACGAAATCTACCAATTCAATTTCTGTTACATATAAATAATCACTTCGATGCCCATGCGCACTGAAAATATGTATATACACCTTTGTACTTTTGGCCATGAGGCCTTGAATACGAATAAACGTCTTCTTTTTTCATGTAGATAGAAAAGTATATATTTTTGTTAATAACCCTGACTTAATAAAATATATAATTAATTACTAAGTGACAGTTTGTATTCATTACCGATTTTTGGGTTAAATCATTACAGACTGAGGTAATGCAGTATGCTGAAGTGTGTGCTTGCAGTCAACCAGAAATGTTGTTGTTATAAGCTGTGGAAGTTTTGGGATGTGAAAGTTTTGGGAGGATACCTCTGTACATGCTATCGCACAACATAGCGGTCTTGTCGTCTTGTGGTCACCCTTCGTCTGCCAGTACGGGGGCGATCATTTTTGGTGTTGTGACCCGGAAACGTTGCTGCAGCCTGTAGATGGTCCGAACGTTGACCTGGAAGTGATTGACGAAGGCTTGTGCAGTGTGGCCAGCTTCAAGTCTTCCTAGCGCCTGGTTCCTCTGAGCTGTCGTGAGTCGCGGCATCCTGCTGACGTTGTAATGTGAATGTTTCAACCAGGTTTGGGGGTGCATTTTATAGGGCTGGTCCTTGTGAACAGCACGTGCAGCATGAGTTGCATGAAAAACATGGAGAACACCGTACCATCTCCGAGATCAGGTTGCGTTTTGGAGACCATTTCCTGGGTTCCATTCTGTGTTTGGAAAGGAATGTCTTTGCTCTGGTAAAGTTGGAGATGTTGTCGAAAATATACAATCAAAACATTAAATGAGTTTACAGTTTCTGCGAAGGACAATTCCAAACTGACGTTTCTTTTGCTGCTTAGTATACATGATCTGGCGTGTCACATTACATGGTTTCATTTCTTAAATTCCATTGCGTGGAATATGTAGATATATAAATTTGTAATAGCATTGTTACAGTCACGTGTCATTAAAACATGTGTTACCATCTGGTTTGTGCTGGAAATATTCCATTACGTATTTGTTCTAATATCATTATAAATTGGACATTCAACTAAAATGATATTCATATTCAATTAAGTCATTATTACAATATCTACATACTAGTCTTATAATGTCAACAGAGAGGGACACTGAAGAAGTTGTTTTGAACATTTGCTTCGTATTTGTCCGAGGGATTGCAGGTAAAGTCGTTTATAACATATCAGACAATATATTAATATCAAACATTGGTTGTATGTAATATATCATTCCAGTCGTGCCTTGTGTGTTTCCCAACGGAGATCGGTACTTGGAACTCTTCTACCCAGAAGCTTTGGGGAATATCAAAAGAAACTTCGGCGCCATCACGGGCTTCCTTGGTGGGTTCTTCCTCCTGGCGTGCATTACCTACAAAGTTAGAGGTACCCCTAACTTACATTAGAATTGGGATTACCCACCAAAGCAATTCTAGGAAACGGATGAAGGATATGTAAAGTTTGGAGGAAGTATCTTTGGCGTTCAATGCCAAAAAAACCGTAACGGCAACTAGTAGGTTCATGCCAGTTGGCAGTCCTAGCAAGTTTGATTAAATAAATTCAAACCCGGATTTGTGAGTGAGAAACGCAAAGTATATTGTCCACCAATCGAGAAGGCAGTGGTGTATCTTATAATACAAATAGAATGTCTTATTTTGACATATGTCACTTATCACAACGTCTAGACCTGCACTGACAACTGAGAATGGGTCTTGACTGGGTCCAATTTAAGTCCTGTCAATAATATCGATGCAAACATCTAGCACAAGCAAGTTAGCTTGGCATTTTCATAATGATGCATGATCATGATACTGTAATGATTCGTCATCATTTGCAAGTGAACACGACGAAAAATATATTTTGGCATTAAAACATTGGCATCCGCGTACAAAACTGTTCATGGCATATATCGTACTGTTCTGTTAAACGCAAATTAATAATGCCCGACGTCCAGAGTACCAAAGGGGTTTGACATCCCACATCAATGGCAAGAAATAAAGGAAATGTTTCAGAGAAAGCACAAATTTAGTATGAACGTATGGTGTTGTATCCAAGGGAGGTTACAGCAATGTTGTGAAAACCAGTTGAATATTACACGTCCCAATTGTTTTGTTGATTTGAGAACTTTGTACTGGACATAGCATGTAAGTATTTTTCTGCATTTGTTTACCAAACCGTACCTAATTTAACCTGAGTTGTCTAACTGATACTGACATGTACATATATGTTTTCTATCAACTTATTTTCTGTTACCTGTATTTGTCATCATGAATTTTATTAAATCACACTCACTCAAAACAGTCGAATCAAACGATTGCTTAATTCGTAGAGTTTACTCTGTGACATGCTTTACTGATTCATTTTGTGTATAAATGCTACGTGACTGTTATGAATGTGTTGATATACATGTGGTTAAAATGTAGTTCCAGGCAGGGAACATATGCAATGCAGATCAATGCAAAGTTTTATCTTTAAGATGAGAGAACCGTTATATCTCTTACTGTTTTTATCAGTTTCTGTTTATTTCATTTCCAGTTTCTAATATCGCATCTACATTTGTCTTTTATAGATTTTGGATTATTTCATACCATGTCATGACATGCGATATTTATAATGCCCTAGCAATGCAATTTATATACACTATACTTTTTATATAGGCGTTTTAATACGTAACCTTATGTAACAATTATTGAATATATGTTTTATGTCATTCCAATGCAATGCTTCAGTTACTTTTTAATGTATCGAGGTTCAGCCCTCAGCCTTTGCTTTTTTGAACGAATTATGCCGGTCCTCGCCGTTAATTAGCCACAGAAATGACTGCGCTGAATTATTATATGCTTCCGTCAATAAGTTTTTCAATCGAGGATGTGCCTTGAATGTTTTAATCAATATCGCATGGCCGTTTACATGTTGATTTTTACGTTTAAATTGTGATTTACAGGTTTACATAGTCGACTGCTATGTTCAATTACTTGGTTTACTATTGATATTTCCCCCGATGATGTATATGAATATTGAGGTTTTCTTCATTCCATACATGTAGCATGCCAATATTCAATATTTCAAGATGATAATTTGTTTTAATAGCATCTTAAGCTATATCACGACGCTACAGTATCTGTCATTACATTTTCTATAGACAACATCTTTTTTTTATCATCGGCTTTAACAGAATGACAAAGTAAACTTTTATACCATTCCTAACCCACGTTCGTCAAATCCTTAATGAGTCTGTATTTACCTCCTGTACTATTTGCATATTCTTTCTGTAGCTACGTACATACATGTATTGGTGGTGTATTTAAGGCCTAAGGTATCTACTGAAATGATTTTATGTTCACTCCGAAAATCGATTCTTCAAAGCATATTTCGAGTGTATATTTTCAAATCGGTTGAGACATTCTTTGAGAAAATGTCAATGAAAATTACTTATTACATTGTAACGTCGTTTGGTGACGTTGGAATATCGTAAAGACGTTAGAAAATGGGGGAAAGGCATAAAATATTATCAGACATTATGATTATATAACAACGTTTTATCCTTATATGGTTCAGAACTTGAAACTGTTAGAAACTCCCGGAACCTGGAGCATTTAAATACACATTAAATCCATAAGTTTTCCATTTGAGACATTTGATTTAATCATTCTAGAATTTCAAACTAATCTTCCTAATTATGAAGATATGAAACTTTTTATGGATGACAACTTTTATATCAGTTGTCAGTGCTTCTTCATGTCTCATCACTAATTGTCAGTTGGAGGCCTTTACAGCCATATGTATGTAGTCTTACTATATGTGTTTTTAGTCCATATGCCTTGACAATGCAATTTCCATGTGTAACGTAACTCATAGTTCGAATCCATATTCGGAAGATTGGTATAACAAAGCAACGCAATATCACTGTATTCATGCTGAGTATTACATTTGTAAATGTTTAACACGGCGGATGCTGTATTTCTCAGATCAAAGTTAATATAAAAAAAAGTTAAAATCTGTTTATTTTGTTTACTGTGGGCTGGGGTGATCTAGCGCTGAAAACCCACTCGCTCTCTATTATCCTTATTCTGATGGAAAAACATCAATGAGATTTGGGACCGTGTATGACTCCTGTGTTAGTCCCACACGCCCGACAGACATGTTAGGATTGCGGTATTTGTATAAGGGCCTATCCTGGGGCCGCCTCCGTGGTGTAGTGGTTAGAGCGTCCGCCCGGAGAGCGGACGGTCGCCGGTCCGATACCCGACCGCGTCATACCAAAAGATGTTAAAATATGGTACTTGTGGTCCCTGCCTGGCGCTCGGCATTAATGGGTACAACAAGGACTGGTCAGTATAATGTGTCTGAGTGGGGTATTCATGCTTCACTGCGGCATGGTATCTCAGTGGGCTGGCACTATAAAACCAGCTTAAGTCTGGGCTAGTACAAGCAGCCGCACATACACATACACACGCATGCACGTCGTCATATGAGTGAAATGTTCTCAAGCACGACGTTAAACCCAATTTCACCTCACCTCACCTATCCTGGTATAGACTCTTTTTGGTATATTGTGATTGTAGGGAGAATAGTGGTCACATGCTGCTTGGAGTTTCACCTTGTTCGGGCCCTGCAGGTGCATCATCGCTTCATCGTTACTAAGCTCACAGATATTCAAACTATGTAAACACATATCAAGTAATAAGTAAGCACATCACTGATTACCAATACGCGATCCCATGGAGCAACAGATGTTTGTTTTCAACATGGCAGATATTCCAGTCACCTTATTCCAAATGGTCATGGGTGTAGACATTTGGTATACACTGGATTGAAGTAATGAGGCAGAAAGTTCGACTCCCCTCGAGAGTACAATGTGTTACCATTTCTGGTGTACTCTGTCGTGGTGTTACAGGAATATAGTTCATAATGGCGTAACCCACATCTATTTACCAAGTGACTGTGTGCGTGGTCAGCGATGTCTGAAGGAATGTCCAAGGAAACGAGATTCATGGTCGTGGCAATGCTTAATTGCTGCCTATGGCAGTTCATTCAGGGATTGGAGGCTTATGGACAAAACGAGACCTTCAGATTGTCCTGATTTGGTTGTGCGACACTTTCCTCGCTTTATAAGAATGAAACCGTAACATTTCTTTGTACATACCATTTTAGTACTGTCATTCATTTTGTCCCGCGTTTTAGTTGGCACTGCCATGTCATTGACTTCATGTTCAGCAGAGATTTCATAGTCCATGTGATAACATAGTCCTCCACAGAGGATCCGTTTTCCCATATGATACGTCCATTCATAATGCACAAACTAGCATTCACTAAGAACTCAAACACGTTCGATAACCGTTCATTCCGCTTTGATGTCAACACCATCAATGAAGTCACTGCCACTTCCTATTCCGGTTATCTTTGACACCTAAATTGTTATCGTCACAATGTGGCTGAAATATTGCCAGTGTGACGATAAATAATCACTCACTCACTCACCCACGCACGTCCTGGAATGAAAGTCCCCGCAACATACCTTCGTTCTAGAACATGTACATGTTCTCCAATAGCTTCTCAAAGAGATTAGGGTCCTGCATCATTAGGCCTTGAGGAGCTCCATGGGGGTTGGGGAGTGGAGATAGCTCGAAAGGAGATAAAGAACATGATCCGTTTTCTGTTGTTCCCGTGCCGTGTGTGTCTTGGAGTCGTTAGTTAGGAAAGTTTCGCTCACACAGATCTAGATCAGAGACTACAGACTGCCTGAAACTGCTATTAAACGCGGTTTTCTGGTCCCAACCGCCCCAAGGACCCTTATTGTCTCTTTGAAGGCACTAAAAGTTTACCATGGAAGCAGAACAAGCTTGATTTCCCCACCTCGCTGATCAGAGTCGAGATGTATGAATCAACTGTTAAGACTTTTAGTGCTAGTCCGCTAAGAGCATATCACGGTTTAACATGGACACTAAACTCTGTACACAGTACACTGACTCCGCCACAACCAGCCCTTGTCTTCGTACCATAATTAAGTGCCAGCTTTGAATTGTTTTGGTATGGCGTGATTTCAAGTAAATTCTCGAAGTACGTGGACACGTGACCTAACATGAGCTGTCTTATTGACAGTGAGTGCGTATGGTTTTACGCCGCTGATAGCAATATTCCAACAATATCACGACGGGGGACACCAGAAATGGGTTTCATATATTGTATCCATATGAGGAATCAAACCCGGATCTTCGGCGTGACGAGCGAACGCTGTAACCACTAGGCTACCCCATCGACCCCAATAGTGGAACGCATTCATGCCGACATGCCATGACCAGAATATCCGTTTACAAGGTGGCAGATGCGTCAGAAACATTGCTCGTAAGATCAACAACATATTTGCGTGGTCCACGCAAACGTTATTATTGGGAGTGGCGAAAAACATCATTCATCGATACACACACCACTGATCATGGAAACTGATCCAAAGCATGTGTAGACGTTGTCAGTTGGGTACCGTACACATTGGGTTCGGCAAGTACTCGAAGTTTTACCTCTTATGTAACGCTTACGCAGTTTTTTTGTTTTGAAAAACGATGGCAGGTGCCGGATCGGAAAACAGAATTTATGAAATGCAGAAATACCCCGAGGCTAAATTTATTTTCGTATCCGAGACAAAAAAAAATTAAATGAGTACTTTGATTAAACAAACCTCACAGGGAGGATTTTGGTGTTGTTGTTTTTCTTATAAAAGCTGCAGGTGAAAATGTTTCTCAATGCCATAATGTACCAAAATGTACCCCATGTATCTGTCTCTCATGTTGAAGAAATATGGCTTCGGATCATTTCAAGTCAAGTTCAGTTCAATTCAGTTTTGTAGATTTTGAAAGAAAACCGATGGTCGTTTGAAAATTGTAGGAAAATGAATGAATAGTGGAAAACTACATAAAAGTATTGTACGTTTATGAAACATTTATTACACCAATGCACGCCCATTACATGGCCGTTGTGATTGCCCCGTTCTGAGACGCTAGCTATTTCGATAAATATAGATTATCATACACATGAGTACATACATGAATAACAATGGTGATATTCATTTAATTACTAAAACATACAAGAATACCACAAGTAAAATAACAACTTCACAAGCTCAGAACGGCTTATTGACCTTAACACAGCGGGTCAAAACAAGTTTGACAACCAACACACACAAATCCATTGTACTGTCCTCTACCACAAAGTGACGAAGACTTGAAAAATGTAACACGGCCGTTAATTATATATGATATGATATGATATTATTATGATCACTCTGCACAAAAAGTCAACTTGGGTCTTTATAGGAGAGGTGATACACTAGCCCTCTGGTACGAACTTGAAAATGTTTTATCCGTTCGCTTTGGGGGTGAATATCAAAGAGATAACGCCAGAAAGACAGACTCTTTGAGCGTAAAAGGCTCATTAAGGGTACAGTTTTACAAATTTGCCCAAAAAAGTGAGTCTGAGCATATGTTTTACCAGTAGCGCCTGCAGCACAGTTAGTTTGCATAACAATAAGTACGTGTTTGTTTCCTGGCGCCAAACTTCGTTAGTCAGGACGCTATTGCTCCACAAACCCCGCCTTCTAGGGGATTACCGATGGGAAAGAGAAATGACGTTATTCGTTAATTGGTATGAACGGGTTTCCACTGTGCATCATCATCAACGCCACACTTCACTGGAAAACAAATCCTTCAAGATGCCTGTTGAATTGAATTACAGTGGCACTGTATCACAAATCAGCACTGAACACATTTCAATAAATATATATCCTTTGCCAACATGACGAAATATGACAAGTGTCTTTCTCTCGACTATTATCGTTGGACTTTTTTGGGTCCATTACACGGTGACTCTTGTGATATCATTTCCTTGGGGTGGTCGGAGAGGGATACAGATATGGGTCAACAAAGATGTTTGAAGGCATGAAGACGTACATCGCCATGACATCAGTCGATGTCCATTAAGGCGCCCGGAATATAAAGATTAACGTCACATGTCACTTGAGCATCACTGTTTCCGAGCCTTGATTTCTTAGTGCTTGGATATCCCTTGACATCGTCGTGTGATCGTTTCTTTGTAAATAGACTTCTTTTGACACTGGACAGACTTGTGTCTGAATGAATGCAGCCACCGGGTCTGCTGTCAGGTGTCAACTGAAAAAAAATAAGTATTATTAACAAATGCTCGTATACATTATGTAAATCTACAGTAATTAATTTTGAGTTTGAACCACCAAAACAAGACACTATCCATATTCCTTTCTTTTTGAAACACTGTATACATGTATTCTACTGAACGCTTACCTCTTCGCTGCTGTCACATGATTCAAAGCCACTGTCATGTAGTACGTCATTGTCAGAGAAGGTTGGGTTGTCACTGAGTGGACGTGGACTGTCATGAGATGACGTGACGTGACATGGACTATGGAGAGTGAGTCTTGATATCCCCGTGACTGGTGACGAAGCCGTGGTATACTGAAAGTTTTTTAGAATTATCAGTTACATACATTTCATCCAAATTTAGTGTGTATTTATAGTAAACTCAAAGTTCAATAGTATCTGTGGCTTCATGTTTATATTCATGTTTAAAGTCAATAGAAAGACAATGAGGGAGGAACTGTCATCAAAATCCTAGACTCAGTTGATATCATTCCATCCATAACATATATATCCATCGAGAATGCCAAGGTTTCGAGTATATACGAGAGCATGTTAATCATGCATGTATATTATGAATAGTGATCAACAGTTAATATGAGAAAATTGTGCATAACTTACAACAAGTCTTCGTCGACTACGTATGTTACGGGATTGTCTCATGTCCATATAGTAGACAACGTTGTGCGATATCCTTAGGATGTTCTACCTTCAGTGTCTGGTTCTCAGTGTTACCCAGAATGAAAAGAGGTCCGTATTTATAGTGAAATCAACGTGTTTACATATCCACTCGCTTTAGAAGCTCACGTGGAAGAGGTATTAAAGGCTTCGGAGAT